CGAACTATTCTGTAATTATTTCAGAACGAATAATGATAATTTGATGAGTTGTGCCTGTATAGGCCCCGGTACATCATGAAAAAAAAACAGGATTACAAAATGACAAACGCAATTTAAATTTGGAGCGGGTGGTTGCACATGTAATATGCAGAGTCATTAGGACTAACAATGCGAGGAACGGTGCGACAGTCAAGGCTATGGGGGTCGTCTGCACTTTACCTTTTTATAGACGCGCCGGCTAATAATGGACGACACGCAATGTGTAGGGATACAATGTACGTGTACGTGCCAACCGTCGGGGGGATGGTATGGTTGACATGATTGGGCAACAAATTCAATAGGATTCTCTCTTATTTTTTTCGATATTTTGTTTGGTTTCGTTGGGGACGGGTAGTCATGTGATGACTTTTTGCATAATTTTTTGGGGGGGGGCGGTACGAGAATGTCCAATGTACATGTAGTTGAAGTACAGAATTCTCAGATAAGTTTACTGTTGCTCGTTTTTTTTTTCTGGAGTAGTTGAAGGGAACTCTACCGAGTAGGCAACGCAGAAATGTTTTCCAGTTTCTGTTTTGCGTTTTCGAGGAAGGACAGGCTAGGATGATTTTGCACAATTTTTGGGTTGTCGGAGAGCGACAGATACTGTAGCATGTACAGGATTTTGTTTGTTTCTACCGTTATTTCTTGGATATTTTGGGAGAATCCGGCAAATATGCCACAGAACAGAACTCAACCCGTCAAACCCCAACTGCATGTTTTGTTGGAATCTGTCAGGATGGGTACAGTACCCCTAAACTGACAGTCTTTTAAATTGGGTTTGCACACATCTCCAGAATCAAAGTCAGAAATATACATGTGTGTGCAGTTTCCATGTGGTGTTGGGATTTGCCAGGATGGGTATGATTCCAAATAAATCATGCTAGGGAGTTAGGGTTGGTTTCTGCATAGAGTCTATGGTGTTTTGTTTGCGAAATCTCGGTTTGCTCTTACAGCTTAGGTTCATTTCTGGTTTTAGAATCATTTCAGGACCCTTTCATGCACAGTCTGTATGGGAATTTGATATTCCTGATGAAGAAATCAGATCAATGTTCAGACCAAGTTTCAAGTTGGGGGCTTACAAATCTCATTGAGCCGAAACCTGAGACGACGCCAATGTTTAGTAAATGGCAAGTGTTTCAAGACTGAGATGATGACACCACGATGCAGAAGTGCTTCGGATTTGGAATGATCGAAAAATCGTTTGCTGTGCTTTCCACATCAGTCCAGTCCAATATGGGGGGCAGCGTGGGTGGGGTCAAAGTTCACTACGCTGGCTTCCATTGGTCACAATTGGTGTTGGGAATTTGCATCGAGGGCTGGGATTGGTCAAGAGCAGGAGCACGCTTGTGAGACAAGAATTGGTATTGGACAGTTCATGTTGAGGTGGTTTCCTGATTGGTCCAATTGCTAACTATGCAAGGACCAAATGCAAAGCTGATTTTTGTTGATAGATCTAAAATCTACATGTACTACAGATTGACTATTCAAACAAACACGACAAAGAAATTCCTTTAGCGTTGTTCATCCTCTGTTACTTGTGACCTGCCTTGTGATTTGACTTGTGACCTGCCTTGTGATTTGACTTGTGACCTGCCTTGTGATTTGACTTGTGACCTGTCTTGTAATTGACTTGTAAACCGCCTTGTGACTGACTTGTGACCTGTCAGGTGATTTGACTTGTGACCCGCCATGTGACTGACTTGTGACCTGCCTTGTGATTGACTTGTGACCTGTCTTGTGACCAACTTGTGACCTGTCAGGTGATTGACTTCTGACCTGTTAGGTGACTGACTTGTGACCTGTCTTCTGATTGACTTGTGACCCGCCTTGTGACTGACTTGTGACCTGTCTTGTAATTGGCTTGTGACCTGTCTTGTGACTGACTTGTGACCTGGCAGGTGATTGACTTGTGACCTGCCTTGTAATTGGCTTGTGACCTGCCTTGTGATTGACTTGTGACCTGCCTTGTGATTGACTTGTGACCTGCCTTGTGATTTGACTTGTGACCTGTCAGGTGATTTACTTGTGACCTGCCTTGTGATTTGACTTGTGACCTGACTTGCAACTGACTTGTGACCTGCCTTGTGACTGGCTTGTGACCTGCCTTGTGATTGACTTAGACATGCCTTGTGATTGGCTGGTGACCTGCCTTGTGATTGGCTTGTGACCAGCCTTGTGACTGACTTGTGACCGGCCTTGTGATTGACTTGTGACCTGCCTTGTGATTGACTTGTGATCTGCCTTGTGATTGACTTAGACATGCTTTGTGATTGACTTGTGACCTGCCTTGTGACCGACTTGTGACCCTGCTTGTGACTGACTTGTGACCTGTCAGGTGATTGACTTCTGACCTGTCAGGTGATTGACTTGTGACCTGCCTTGTTATTGGCATGTGATCTGCCTTGTGACTGACTTGTGACCTGCCTTGTGATTGACTTAGACAAGCCTTGTGATTGGCTGGTGACCTGCCTTGTGATTGACTTGTGACCTGACTTGTGACTGACTTGTGACCCGGCTTGTGACCTGGCTTGTGACTGGCTTGCAACAAACTTTCATTGGACTTGCAACTGACTAGCTAACTTCTGATTTAATTTCTAACTTATCTTGAGAAATGATTTGTGATTGGACCTATGAATGACTTTTTGATTGACTTTTGATTGACTTGTAAGTGAGTACTGATTGGCTTGAGATTGACTGGCATTTTGACCAGATAAAACAAATCTGAACGAGAGCCATTCATTTCAGGTACGACTTCAAAGAGAAACGAGGAATTTCGACTTTCCAGCCTGCACACCTTCAGTCGACTTGGAACTCTTTCAATATCAGGTGAAGTCCAATAGGGAGGGCATCGCAGGTGATTGACAAGCACTGCGGTCCAACCTATTGGTCAATACCTGGTCACATGACACATCAAAGGCGGGGCTATGGAGGGGGCTACTCTCTCATTGGTGAATGATGTTTCAGAGGAAGGCCAACATGATACAGGTAAAAAAACATTGGTCTTAAAGGGAAAATACAACATTTGCAAACATCAAAAAATAAAACTACCAAATCATTTTGAAATACCTTGCTGGACTGTTAGTGAATGACAGTGTAAAGCATCCTGTAAAATCATGGCACCTGGTATACTGTCATTTTCAAGAAAAGTGGTATTTTTGTATCAATAGCCAACGCTGGTCGGCCGACCAGCGTTGGAAAAACTGGCATTTTTTCAAATACTGGCCCCAATTGACCATCGCACTTGTTTGCAATCGATTACAAACCTATGAACGGGTACAAGACAGCTAGACTGGTTCCCTGACCTTACAATTCCCAAATGTATGTAAACTGCTCTGTTTCTTCTTATATGGAGTCAGGGAACCAGACTACAGGAAAATGATTGTTTTTCTTAGTTTTTACAGCATTTTCGAACCCAAAACCTCAAAAAGTCAGTGTAACTATATTTGCTATATATTTCCAACCCCCCAATTCCATCCATTTCTGAAAATTACAGCAAAAGCAAATGATGTATATTCTCTTTAACCCTAACCCCCAAAGGGCTGGTTGGGGGTCAAGTACCAAATACCACAGAATACTAAATGTGCTGTGCACACTTGTATGGAAAGAAATTAATACTACAGGTTACTACTCAATGGTATTTTGTAGCATGGGGGGCGGTTAGGGTTAAGGTGATTGACAAGCAATGCTGTCCAGCTAATTGGTTAAGAAAGTTCTGCAATCCAACCTATTGGTCAATACTTATTGGTCAATACTTATTGGTCGATACTTATTGGTCAATACCTACTGGTCATCAGAAGCGGGGCTTTTAGGACACTTGAGAGGGGTTAAGGCAAACCTAACAAGTTGTTCAGTCAATTGCTACTAATGAACCTAATCTCAGTAGAATCGCGTCAGCGCAGCCTGTGAAATATTGTCCAATTACATGTACATACAAATGGATGCGGTGCAGGCAAAATGTGAGACAAACAAAACTTAACGTACAAAAATACCATCAGGTTGTCTAAGGGGCGTGGCTAACTTGCAAACGGCGATAGGTCAATTGCTTCCTGCTCGTGGGCATTCACCCAGTAATAAACCATTGCTATGACGTCACACTATTGTTAAAAGTGTGGATTCGGAACTACGAATCTGTTACGCTGGTCACCACGTGTGGATTCGGAACGAAGAATCTTTAGTAAAGTGTGGATTCGGAATTAAGAATCCACACTTTGAACACGTCAGACAATTGTTCTCTATAATGAGCATTAATAGGACCGTATGCGTGAAAATTTCCTTCCGAAATTACCAATGCATCTTCCCTGTCAGATTCTCCGCCGTCACTGCAAAACCTACGGTACTTCGAGTCAGAAAGAAATCATCGTCTGAACTATCAATTTGTCAACGGAAGGAGCCAGGACAAATGTTGCAACCTGACGCCACTTTTTTTCCTCCATATATCATCTCAATGAAGGGCATTCATTGCAAAAATGATGATAAGACATGAATCTGGGACTGAGAAATGTTTCCAATTTTGTTAGGAAATACTTTAAAAAAAATTCTTGACTCTCCATAGACTTTGTACACAATCGCTGAAGTGGCGTCAGGTTGCAACATTTATCCCAAGTCTTTTCATCTCCACTCACTGTTAATGCCAATACTTCTTTTGACGCAATGGTTTAAGTCGAAGAATACCCTCGCAAGTGTGGATTCTTAATTTACGAATTCACTCGGCGCTCCGCGCCTCGTGAATTCTTAAATTACGAAACCACACTTTCTCGTGTATTTTCCTTAACATAAACTTCCCCAGGTGGATGAATGGAGATATAAGAGAGTGTTAAACTCCTGGTACAGGCTTGGGCAAAAACCCGAATATAAGCTCTGTACTCCGGTTTTGCCTTAAAAGAGGGATTCACGGCATTTGGTCCTCATTTGAACTTGGTCTTGATCTGGAGACCCCCCCAAAAAACCCAAACCAAACCTACCTCCAGCTTCTTGGTGAAGACGAGATGCTCTAAGTATCGCATGACCGCCATGGGGTAGGCGTGGAGGTAGTCGATCACCGTGTCTGGTCGCATGCGCTCCGTAAGGGCCTCCGACTCGGACCTATCGGTGAAGATCTGAAGGAAATGTACAATAATCAGAACAGGCTTCACTAGTGGCAAAGATATTATTTTATTTTGGCAGAAAAAATAAATACTTCTGCTTCTGGTTTCCCTACCTACCCTATTCTGACAGCCCCTACCCTAATTTTTTTAATGAGAAAAATGAGAAAAACACACCCCAATGAAATCAATTTCAACCTTTTACCCTTGACTACACGCAGACATCTCCATATAATCGAAAAGAAAACAAATTGACCTAAAAAAAAAATTCCCTTCCTACCTACCTTATTTTCGAATGCCATGTAATCAGAAGCAGAACTGTTTTTTTGTTTTTTTTATGCTAATTTCTTGTAGTCTATGTTTACGTAAACAGATTCGGCAAAAACCGACCAATCAGCAGGCGCCTTCTTTATGCGCGTAAATTGAGCTCCCCACACGCGTAAACATCACGCTCACGATGAGTAGCATTTTAAAACAGGTTGTTGCATTACAAAAATGAGCATCAAATTGACCAATCACAAATCTTAGTCCTGATTTCGGAATGAAATGAGGTCACGCATGTTTAGATATATCAGACGTTATACAGGAGACTGGGCTCTGTAGATAACGGATGATACTCAGGCTTGGTGAAAGGTCACAAATTATTAAATTCTTCTTTTTTGTTTTGTTTTGAAAACTGGACATGTGACTGTTCTTGACCAATGGCGTTAAATGAATCTGCGACATGACATAGCGCGGAGTGCAGGCATGCAACTGAGAATTTAGAAAAAAAAGAAAGGAAATTCCAAGCAATACAAGACTTTGTACAGTGTTTTGAAATTTGTAATGGCGTTCATGAGAAGTAAAAAACCCAGGAAATCAGCGGATCCGAGGAAAAGTTGCATGCCTGGGAGGGGTCACACGTACCTTTACTCCCAGGTTGGGATCTTTCTGCAAAGCCCAGTCCACGTACCTCCAGACTAGCTCATGATCGCTCAACCTGGGTAAACATTTTTTTTTAAAACACAATAAATTCAATAAATTCCCTCCATAAATTTCAATGAGCATTCACTTTTTGACACAACAATTAAAGGGAATATACATCATTTGCTTTTGCTGTAATTTTCAGAAATGGATGGAATTGGGGGGTTGGAAATATATAGCAAATATAGTTTCACTGACTTTTTGAGGTTTTGGGTTTCGAAAATGCTATAAAAACCAAGGAAAACAATCATTTTCCTGTAGTCTGGTTCCCTGACTCCATTTAAGAAGAAACAGAGCAGTTTACATATATTAGGGAATTGTAAGGTCAGGGAACCAGTCTAGCTGGCTTGTACCCGTTCATAGGTGTGTAATCGATTGCAAACAAGTGCGATGGTCAACTGGGGCCAGTATTTGAAAAAAAGCCAGTTTTTTTCCAACGCTGATCGGCCGATCAGCGTTGGAAATTGATACAAAAATACCACTTTTCTTGAAAATGACAGTATACCAGGTGCCATGATTTTACAGGATGCTTTACACTGTCATTCACTAACAGTCCAGCAAGGTATTTCAAAATGATTTGGTAGTTTTATTTTTTGATGTTTGCAAATGTTGTATTTTCCCTTTAAATAAAAACGGCCACAACTTTCTTATTTCTGCACAGAAGGCCTTGATTTCTATAATTACCTGAACAATTATACACACAATAGTTTTGGCTAATAAATCATTCCTTGATGGTGGAAATCTAGATTGAATAAAAAAAGATTTCAACATGCAGGTTATTTTTCACGCTCTGGTGATTTCCAAATGACGGAGCTGAGCACAAAAAAAATATGGTTTTGGGGAGAGCCAAGTCAATGTGAATCACCGTAACATTTCATTTTTAACAATTTTGTTCTTACCTTGATAAGAAATCAACAACAAACTCCAGGCCTGGAAACGAGTCGTCTTTCAACTCCCCGTCACATAATCTGAAAATTAAAAAAAGGACACTGTGACCTCACTGCTCAATGAAACCACTTTATAAACAAGATAAGCCCCTCCTTCTTTGACCAAATATGGATTGTGTTCATACCCGCGATGTGTATGTAAAGCCACTCCCACCTTGACCACGTATGGCATGTTATTAAAATCTAAACTTCATAAAATCTTTGACATATGGCATGTTATTAAAATCTAAACTTCATAAAATCTTTGACAAGTCTCATGAAAATAAGGCCCGCCCACCTTTACAATACACTGAGGGTTTTCTTAGTACAAGTATCTCTATGACACTGATACAGTCAGCATGAGGGGTGGTCTCTCTAAAGATTAGCCCCTCCTACCTTGCCCATATATGGAGTGCTTTTTCATCATCTCTTCGACACTTACACAGGAGGCAAGAGGGAGGTCTCTTTTATAAGCTCCTCCCACTTTGACAATAAAATGGAGCATTCCTCAATTACCCGAAAATTATATGGAAGTATCCTGATGGGAGATCTCTAGAAAGACAAGCCCCGCCTACCTTGCCCATGTATGGAGTGCCTTCTCATTGTCTAGGTGGTACCTGTACAGCAGGCCTAAGGCATGGTGCCTGCTGAATCTTTGCAGGACCTCGGGGGCATCTTTTAACGAGCAGGTGTTCTCAGACGAGACCAAGCCAATCAGCTTCTCGGGATCTGTCTCGGCATAAAGCTTCAGCAAGGCAGTGTCCACCTCCTGAGACACCAAAAAGTGCGTGAGGACTTATGAGATTGACTGTGTCCTACCGGTATCTATGAATCATAACTAGCTCCTCCCACCTTGCCCTTATATGGAATTTTTTCATCATTATCCTTAAAAAAAAAAAGGCTCAAAAAAGTGAGCGGTGACTCATTAGATGCATTGTGTGTATTATTTATGAATCATAATCGCCTCCAAACTCGCCCATATATGGAATTTCTTATTATTATCCTTATCTAAAAGGCACAGGAAAGTGGGTGGTGTTTCACGAAACTCATAGTTTGCTATTATGAGTTATAAGCTCCTCCCACGTTGCCCATATATGGATGTTCTTTATCATTATCCTTGAAAAGGCCAAGGGCAGGTCTCTTTGAAATCTAAAGTAACACATCTAAGGCCAAAAAAAAAAAAGTCTCCGGTTTCTGGTATGGAGCTTGTCCAAAAAGTGGTGCGACGACGCCTTTTTTTTTTTTTTTTTACCTGACTTTTTTGCTTCAAATGTCGGCTGATGACTGCAAATGGTGCCCGACTAAACTTAGTGCAAATATATGGGAGTCCAGAGAGGCCACATAAAGCTTATTCTCGATCATAATAACCCCATCTAAAAACACGTTCAAATTGTGCAGCAGCAGGATTCCAGTCAAACCAGTGAGTTTGGCGGTTTTCAGACATCATCTTTTATTGAAAAAAAAAACTTTTTCATTTTGCCGACGCGCATGGCTACGGCGACACGCGCGCATACCAGAAACCGGCGACTTTTTTTTTTGGGGCCTAATTCTCAATTAGGCAAATATTCTTGATTGGGCAACTATTCTCAATTGGGCAAACTGACCTCCCTGTACCCGATGCTGAGCTCTCCGCCCCGGATGCTGTCCAGGTACCCGGCTAGGAACGTCTTGCACTCGCACAGCCGCTCCTTGCTGCCTCGCACGACGGACGAGATGTCGGCAAACTGGTGGAGAAGGGGACTGGACCGGTTGAAGTTGGAGGTGGAGGGGAGGTGGTTGGGGAAGATACTGATCAGCTGTAAGATAGACGGGAAAAAGAAATACTATGGCTTCTATTTGGTTTGCGCATGAAGAAATGTAATAATAATAATAATAATAAAGAACATTTGTAAAGCGCTGGTCTCCACCTAAGGCCAAAAAAAAAAAGTCTCCGGTTTCTGGTATGCGCGCGCGTCGCTGTAGCCATGCGCGTCGGCAAAATGAAAAAGTTTTTTTTTCAATGAAAGATGATGTCTCAAAACCGCCAAACTCACTGGTTTGACTGGAATCCTGCTGCTGCACGATTTTAACGTGTTTTTAGATGGGGTTACGGTCGAGAATAAGCTTTATGTGGCCTCACTGGACTCCCATATATTTGCACTAAGTTTAGTCGGGCACCATTTGCAGTCATCAGCTGAAGCAAAAAAGTCAGGTAAAAAAAAAAAAAAAAAAGCCGCGTCGCCGCACCACTTTTTGGGCAAGCTCCATACCAGAAACCGGAGACTTTTTTTTTGGGCCTTTAAAGGCGCTCATGGCACTTGAGGAGAAAGTCAAGTTAGGATTGTGTGTTGTGAGAGTGAGCTTGTTTGTACAGATGAGACTTTATATCTGTCTTCGATGTTGTGATTGATGGAGATGATTTGATAGCCAGAGGGAGTTGGTTCCACACTCGGGCTGACGCTGCAGTAAAGGATCTGTCACCCCAAAGAGCGGAGGTCCTGGGCTCGGGAAACATCATGAGCTCACTGGGGCGGAGTCTGGTGCGTAGTGCTGAAGGAAGGAGAGTCAGTTTAAGCGTTGCGGTACTCTCCTAGCTCGCCTTCCACCGCTGTGACCCGGGTTCGAATCCCCTCCGGGCCAACATGTGGATTGGGTTTTCAGTCCCTACCTGATTCTGTGAGTTCTCCCCAGAACATTTTTCGGGGCTTCTCCTCCCACCTCTAAAACTGTGATTTCTTCTAATCGTCACCTCTCTACAAGCTTCTTCAGGCTTGTGAGCTACAGGGCCTAGGGTGCTTTTGAGGAATCCTTGGTTTTTCATTACAAGACATAAATAATTATAATAACTAATAATAATAGACGAGGGCGCTGTTCACCCTTTCAGTTTAAAGGGACTGGAACGATTCAAAGTTGGTGGTGGAGGGGAAATAATTTGGGAAGATAGTGATCAGCTGTAAGACAAAAGGTATTAAGATTTCTATTGGGTTTGTGCATGAACAAGCGAAGGCGCTGTTTAAACCACACATACCTCCCGGACGTCGAGCAGTCCGTCTTTGAAGAGTTGGGCCGCTTCTTCATAGTGAAACTGAGACAGTTCGATGAAGCCAGCTTGCTGCTGGATCCGTTGATAAAGCTGAAAAAAAAAATTTTAAGGGAAAATACAACATTTGCAAACCTCAAAAAATAAAACTACCAAATCATTTTGAAATACCTTGCTGGACTGTTAGTGAATGACAGTGTAAAGCATCCTGTAAAATCATGGCACCTGGTATACTGTCGTTTTCAAGAAAAGTGGTATTTTTGTATCAATTTCCAACGCTGATCGGCCGACCAGCGTTGGAAAAAACTGGCTTTTTTTCAAATACTGGCCCCAGTTGACCATCGCACTTGTTTGCAATCGATTACACACCTATGAACGGGTACAAGCCAGCTAGACTACAGGAAAATGATTGTTTTTCTTGGTTTTTATAGCATTTTCGAACCCAAAACCTCAAAAAAGTCAGTGTAACTATATTTGCTATATATTTCCAACCCCCCAATTCCATCCATTTCTGAAAATTACCGCTAAAGCAAATTCCCTTTAAGTAGAATGTGCATAATCTTAAATCTCTTTCCCCCCAAAAAATACAAGCTAGTCTTTCTTTTTTTTGTGTTAAATTTGTCAGCAAGGCAGAACCAAAAGTAAGGAGCTGAAAACTTTTCAAAGCAAAAACCCTAGCTTAGGCTGACAGTTGTGATTTTAAAGGGAAAATACAACATTTGCAAACATCACAAAACGAAATGATCAAATTATCACAAAAAACCCTTACTGGATTGTTAGGGAATGACAGTCTAAAGCATCCTGTAAAATCGTGGCTCCTGGTGTGCTGACATTTTCAAGAAAAATGGTACTTTTTTTTCCAACGCTGGTCGGCCGACCAGCGTTGGAGAAAACTGGCTTTTTTTCAAACGCTGCTCCTAATTTTTCCTAATTGTTATTCCGCATTTTCTTTGCAATTGACTACAGACCTGTGAAGGGGTACAAGCCTGCTAGACTGATTCCTCGACCTCACAATTCCCTTAAGTCTATAAATTGCTCCGATTCATCTAACGTTAGGTCGGGGGACCAGACTATAAGAACATGATTGGTTTTCTTGGTTTTTCCAGCATCTACAAGCCCAAAACGTGAAAAAAAGTCATTTTAACAATATTTGCCATAACATACTGATCCTCCAAATTCATTTATTTCTGAAAATTGCAGCAAAAGCAAATGTTGTACATTCCCTTTAGGTTAAAGCTATAGTCCATCATTTGTAATTTGTGCATTTTGTTCGTTTGAAGCAACAAAAGAGTTCAAAATCTAATAAAGGATACTAAGCAACTAACCTGATAAAGTTTCAGCTAAGCTTCAGCTGTACATTCCGGGAAAAACAGCATTCTAAGATCTCAATTTCAAATCGAAATTTACTGAATCATGTTTTGAATTGCAGCTATACGCGACGTCGCGCACTGATCCGACGAATTATAACAACCGCGCGCGCGTGTGCGTCGTTCCAATACTCGCGCGCGCTGCGCCGAATAACAAAACGAACTACTAATTTAAATTTTCCTACGGTGCTTCTTAAGAATCACCGTTGGGAATGCCTTCTTTCGTTGATTACTTCAAAATGACAGTTTCCCAGAAAGAATAATTTCACAGGGAGTTTAGTTCCCTTACTATCTTTCAACTAAGTTTGTGTTTCAACAATAATTACGCCAGTTACTTTTCAGATGGCTGTAAATGATGGACTATAGCTTTAATAAATCCCAACTTACCTTGTGGAATTTCTCCTTGGCAAGTCCCAGCTTCTTGGCATTTCTCGCCAGCGTCAACGCCTCCTCCACTCTCTGATCACTCAACAGAGCTTGGATCTGCTCACACACAAAAACAAAGAATTTGTTAATTTAATAGTGAATTTTGTCTTTAAGCAACAAAGTTTTTTTGTATACATGCTGTATACCCAGTATTGTCCGAGGGCTTGCAAGAACAGAAAACCCAATCTCACTCGGGTGGGACTCGAACCCACGACCTTCTGCTTAAGGGGAAGATACAACATTTGCAAACATCAAAAAACGAAATGATCAAATTATCACGATTTATCTCACTGGATTGTTAGGGAATGACAACCTAAAGCATCCTGTAAAGTTGTGACTCCTGGTGTGCTGACATTTTCAAGAAAAACTGTATTTTTCCAACGCTGGTCAGCCGACCAGCGTTTTTTTTTTTTTTAAATTGCTCCTTATTTTTCATATTTAGTTCGTCTGCATTTTCTTTGCAATTGATTACACACCTGTGAAGACTACAAGCCAGCTAGACTGATTCTCTGACCTTACAATTCCCCAAAGTCTATAAATTCCTTCATTTCATCTTGAGTAGGTGAGGGAACCAGACTACAAGAACATGATTGGTTTTCTTGGTTTTTCCAGCATCTATGAACCAAAAACGTGAAACAAGTCAGTGTAACAATATTTGCTAAAACATACTAATCCTCCAAATCCATTTATTTCTGAAAATTGCAGCAAAAGCAAATATTGTACATTCCCTTTAATAGTAAAGAAGTCCTACCACTTGACCACCAAGTTCAATTTTTTATTTGGCTTAAAGCCTGAGTCCATCATTTGCAGCTATCCAAAAAAGTAACTGGCGTAATTATTGTTGAAAAACATACTGGTTGAAAGATAGTAAGGGGACTAAACTCCCTGTGAAATTATCCTTTCTGGCAACCTCTCATTTTGAAGAAATCAAGGAAAGAAGGCATTTCCAACGGTGCGTCTTAAGAAGCACCGTAGGAAAATTTAAATTAGTAGTTCGTTTTGTTATTCGGCGCAGCGCGCACAAGCATTGAAACGACGCACAAAGCTGCAATTCAAAACAATTCGAAACATGATTTAGCAACTTTTGATTTGAAATTGAGATCCTAGAATGCTGTTTTTCTCGGAATATGAAGCTGAAGCTGAGCTGATACTTCATCAAGTAAGTTGTTCAGTATCCTTCATTAGATTTTGAACACTTTTGTTGCTTCAAACGAACAAAATGCACTAATTACAAATGATGGACTATAGCTTTAACGAAAATTCCCAAAATCCCTTTACCTGTTTTTCCACGGGTAGAGGCACCAAAGCGTACACTTCTTTCCTGGATGCTACAAGGATCCTCCCCTCAAAGTCGCCCAGGATCTTCCCCGATTGGAATGGAATGGTCTGCTTCTGCTGTTGGTCTAATACACTGTTGGATGAGAGGAAATGAAACCAAGGGGAGTAATCAAATTAATGTTCATCCATTCAAATCTGTTAATATCTGCCCCCCATTTGGAATGGAATGGTCTGCTTCTGCTGTTGGTCTAATACACTGTTGGATGAGAGGAAATGAAAAATGGGGGAGTAATCAAATAAACTGTTCATCTATTCAAATCTTCCAATATCTTCCCTCGATTGGAATGGAATGGTCTGTTTCTGCTGTTGGTCTAATACACTGTTGGATGAGAGGAAATGAAAAACGGGGAAGTCTAAAATTAACTATCCATCCATTCAAATCTTCCAATATCTTCCCCCGATTGGAATAGAACGGTCTGCTTCTACTGCCGGTTTAATACACTGTTGGACGAGAGGAAATGAAAAATAGGGGAGTAATAAAATTAACTCTTCATCCTTAAGACATTGGACAAAATGAAAAAGCGGCACTCGTTTTGAATTGGCCATAACTCAATAAATATGTTTCAGGTTGGAAAGATTTTTTCATTGTTACAAACCAATGAATTATTACCTTGTCAAATATGTATCACGATTTGCAATGCATTTTTTAAAAAAGCTGTGAAAAGAGGGGCGTCAAGTGTCCGTTTTTTGTTTGTTTGTTTTTTTGTTTTTTATGAAAAATCGCCAACCACAAGGCCCAAAGCGGGCCACTCAAGGTGATGGCTAAAAAAAAAGGGGGAAAGGGGGAAAACAAAGAGGAAATCATAGGGTAGAAAGACAACTATTGATGTTGCGCTTAAATTGGGACAGGTTGTAAGTAGAAGGGAAGCAGGATGCAGGGAGTGAATTCCACAGCAAGGCGGTACGTGGGAAGAAACTGGATGAGTATCCCCGAGTATTTGCCTTGGGGACAACCACAGTGTAAGGATGTGAATGAGCAGAGAAACGTGTGGTGCGGCTAAAGGTACGGTTGGGTGGAACAACCATTGAGAGTCCATTTGAGCACCTACCAAAAAAAATATCTGTAAAAGAGGCTCAGTGAGGCCACAGAGCGATGGAGAGATAGAGGTTCCAGAGATGAAGCTAAGTCGTTTCCAACCAGATTTGTAATTCGTCGCTGAATTCCATCAAGCAGGGACAAACTGCAAGCTGGAGCACCAGCCAAAGTATGACAGCAGTATTCCATGACAGGATGTATTGTGAACTTATACAAATTTTTACAAATTAATTTTTTTTGGGGGGGGGGGGGGGGGGGGGGGGGGGAGGGGGGAACCCTTTAGTAACAACCGACCTGTGAACAGTGAGGAATTCTTCGTCCATGGCAACCACGTAAGGGAACAGGTAACTAACTCCGTGGATATTCTCCGACCATTTCAGCGGTGGTCTCTGCGATATACCGGCCGACGTCACAAACATCCCCAGGGCGCTCGGACCAGCCAATAGGAACTCTTCCTGCGTGGCACACACATGAATATTCATGACATGATGTCGAAAGGGAACCATTCAGATTCTCTTCCTGCATGGCACATATGTGAATATTCATGACATGATGTCGCGCGAGAACCATTCAGATTCTCTGGGAGACTTGGCACACACATGAATATTTATGACATGTTGAAAGGGAACCATTCAGATTCTCTTCCTGCATGGCACACACATGAATATTCATGACATGATGTTGCAAGGTAACCATTCAGATTCTCTTCCTGCATGGCACACACATGAATATTTATGACATGTCAAAAGGGGACCATTCAGATTCTCTTCCTGCATGGCACACACATGAATATTCATGACATGATGTCGAAAGGGAACCATTCAGATTCTCTTCCTGCATGGCACACACATGAATATTCACGACATGATGTCGCAAGGGAACCATTCAGATTCTCTTCCTGCATGGCACACACATGAATATTTATGACATGATGTAAAAAGGGGACCATTCAGATTCTCTTCCGGCTTGGCACATACATGAATATTCATGACATAATGTCGGAAGAAAACCATTCAGATTATTTCAACTGGCATCTCCGTGTGGATTTTTTTTTTACACATAGGCATGTAACTGGGAATTGTAATAGAGAAAATGATGAAATTTGAAACCACACAAGACTTTGTACAGTGTTTTTCAATTTGTTGTGGCTTTCATGAAAAAGTAATAAAAAAAAACAAGGAAATCAGCGGATCCGAGGAAAAGTTGCATGCCTGTAGACAATTTGAGATTATTGTGGACACTCAATTCCGTTATGCAAATGATTGTAAATTTATGCATAGGTCAGCAATTTGGAAGCTGTCTTTTTTTATATCAAGAAAAAACAGGAATCATCAAAAAGTCCCTTCAGCAAATGTCACCCAAAAACTATTACTCCCAATATATCCTAGTTTACCCAAGAATATCCTAGATTACCCCCAGACTAGTATGTTAGATGACCCCAGAATACCCAAGAGTTTCCTAAAATACCCCAGATTATTTTAGATTACCCAAGGATACTCCTAGATTACATCCAAATACCCTAGATTACCCCCAGAATATCCTACATTACCCCCAAACTAGCTTAAATATCCTACACATGTCCCCCAAACTACCCCAAATGATCCAAGAATTCCCAAGAGTTTGAAACTCCTACACTGCCCCAAAATACCCTAGATTATCCCTGAATAGCCTAGATTACCTCAGAATACCCTACATTACCCCCAAACTAGCTTAAATATCCTACATGTCCCCCAAACTACCCCCAAATGATCCAAGAATACCCAAGAGTTTGAAACTCCTACATTGCCCCCAAAATACCCTAGATTATCCCAGAATAGCCTAGATTACCTCGGAATACCCTAGATTACCCCTATAATACCCTAGATTATCCCACAGCACCCTGATTACTTCTTTAAAAAAAATCCTCACAGTCACACCCACCTTGCCGACCCTCTTGATAACAGGCGAGGTCGTGTCGGCGTCGTAGGGGAACAAGTGGGTCATTTCGCCGGTGTTGTAGTTGGCCAAGCTACCAAAAAATGACCCCAGAATACCCAAGAGTTCCAAGAATACCCTAGAATATCCTATACTACCAAACAATTCCCTACATTATCCCTGAATAGCCTAGATTACCTCAAAAACACCCTAGATTACCCCCCGGAATATCCTAGTTTATCCCAGGATATCCCAATTTCCTCTTACCAAAAACCCACACTAACCTTGCCAACCCTCTTGATAACGGGCGAGGTCGTGTCGGCATCGTAGGGGAACAAGTCGGTCATTTCGCCGGTATTGTAGTTGGCCATCATGTACTGGTTGGTCATGGCAATGCAAATGCAGTAACCATCTGAACTCTGTGTCACATCAGGATAAATAATAGAGAAGTTTTTTTTTTAATCTTTAATCTTTAATCCCTCCTGTTGGTTAACGAAGTTGACCCTAATTCCAGACAAGAATATAACCAGTGTGTAGAAAAATATCGTGAAGTCTATTCAAAGAATCTGATTGAGAGTGGAGTGCTGTGGCCTCGTGGTTAAGGGCACTGATTCGTGGTCTGTGGGTAAAGCTGCGGGTTGTGGGTTCGAGTCCTGACGGGGTCATGGTGCGTGTGCCCTTGAGCAAGGCACTTTGTCACTCATTGCTTCTCTTCACCCAGGAGTAAATGGGTACCTGTGAGGGCAGAGATGGTTATTGTGATTGAATTAGCTTCCTTGCGCCTAACAAGCAGCATCGAGCTGTATACTCCCCAGGGAGCTGAGGTGGTATATGGAATGTTTCATGGGCCCAATGAGCAGGGGTAATAATAATGTAAAGTGCTTTGATCTTAGTTAAAAGTGCTATATAAGAACTTGTTATTATTATTATTATTATTGGCTGTTATATAACCGACATATGGATCCTTGTCATTTGATTGGTGGAACTCACATCACATGACAGTCGTTATTGCTCCCATTCACGCCAGGGCTCACAAAGTCCCATTCGTCCATGGGGAATGGGAAATACTATTGAACAATTAGGATCATGCTTGCTCCATGACGCGGTATTTGTGTGCAAATGCATGCTAGTATGCGCATTCAGCGTTGCGTGTAGTGTATATTGTTCCAAAGAGCCAACACTACAGCGTTGGGTTCAAACATTTTCGTGAAGGGGTGGTTTGGAAGAGAGAAATACACTTTCCACCAATTTGGTATTGAAATAAAATCTCAAATATATCAAATGACAAGGATCTATATATGTCAGTTACATAAAACAAACATTGAGTGGCTTTAAATTGTGAAATGGGAGGAATATTATCGCTCGGTAAAATCTGGACTTTTCCAGTTCACTCGGCTGAAGAAAAGTTAAGATTTTACCTTGCGATAATATTCCTCCCATTCCACGCTGAGCCACTCAATATTTGTATAATGACAAGCGTCAAAATAGCAAAAATTCGGACTCAGTTTGCTGGGATGGATGATGTAGGACTGTCCTGGGGCCAATTTCACGGCGCTGCTAAGCACACATTTTTGCTTAGCACAAAAAAGTCTGGCTTATAAAAGCAGGGGCCAATTTCATAGAGCTGCTTAAGCACGAAATTTGCTTAAGCACAAAAAAGTCTTGCTAAATAAAATCAGGATACCAGCCAAAACTCCATGCGATTGTTGTGCTAAGTAAACAACAGCTAAATACCAGTCACAAGAAATGTACACCGCATGGCATTTTGGCAGGTAACCTGATTTTACTAAGCAATTTTTTTTGTGCTTAAGCAAATTTTGTGCTTAAGCAGCTCTATGAAATTGGGCCCATTACCAGCCAAAACTCCATGTGATGTATATTGCGGCATGATTAGTATTCAGCTGTTGTTTGCTTAGCATGAAAATCAAATGGCGTTTTGGCTGATAACCTGCTTTTATAAGCCAGACTTTTTTTTGTGCTAAGCAATTTTTTGTGTGCTCAGCAGTGCTGTGAAATTAGGCCCTGACTTGTAGTGAGGATGTTAAATTGGGACCATAGAGTCTTACCAGATTGACCGGTATGTCACTGATGTTAATCTCCTTGATAAGGACGACCTTATCTTCCGTGACGTTGTAAACCTGAACCTGTCTCCTTCTTGTTGTCACGGCGATCTAGAGACAAAAAAGTGATGTATCACAAGTTTTTTATTTAAAGGGAAAATACAACATTTGCAAACATAAAAAAATAAAACTACCAAATCATTTTGAAATACCTTGCTGGACTGTTAGTGAATGACAGTGTAAAGCATCCTGTAAAATCATGGCACCTGGTATACTGTCATTTTCAAGAAAAGTGGTATTTTGGATCAATTTCCAACGCTGATCGGCCGACCAGCGTTGGAAAAAACTGGCTTTTTTTTTCAATACTGGCGCCAGTTGACCATCGCACTTGTTTGCAATCGATAACACACCTATGAACAGGTACAAGCCAGCTAGACTGGTTCCCTGACCTTACAATTCCCCAATGTATGTAAACTGCCCTGTTTCTTCTTAAATGGAGTCAGGGAACCAGACTACAGGAAAATGATTGTTTGTCTTGGTTTTTATAGCATTTTCGAACCCAAAACCTCAATAAAGTCAGTGTAACTATATTTGCTATATATTTCCAACCCCCCAATTCCATCTATTTCTGAAAATTACAGCAAAAGCAAATGATGTATATTCCCTTTAAGCAGGCATGCAACTGGGAAGTAGCCAAAAAAGAGGAAATTCAAAGCTTCACAGGACTATCCGCTCCGTTCACAAGTACCCCCTCACTGGCAAAGAAAGTTCAGTTGGGGGTGACCGACCGACGCCATCTTGCCTGACTGCAATTCATTTGCCGCGGAGTGCGGCCACTGCGTGTAAATAGAACAAATCCCCCGGTGTACGTGCGTCACACACAAAGAACGGTGCGCGTCAACCAGCAATATGTCCCACCCATGGGACGTCATTGCTAGGTGAAAGGGCGCCCTCTTCCGTTGGGGCACAGAGCCTTTATACAGGGCGAGTACACAAACACATCCCAAATGGTGGGACCAATTCTTGAATGAAGTTTTGCCTGTAGCACTTTCAAAATCTAGGATAAGAAAACCCAACCATTTGAGCTTTCTTTTAGTACAAGAATCATTCAAATCACTCATGTACTTCTCAAGTTACGGTATTTTGAACACTAATACCATTTTTAAAGTGTACATTCCACAGATCATACGTGTTCTTTCAGCAAAACGAAAACAATTCACATGCATCCCTATGAGAATTGTTTTCGTTTGGATAAAAGAACACTTTACTTTTTTGGTGATCTGTGGAATGAACTTTAAAAACGGTGTTTTCAAAATGCTGTAACTCGAAAAGTATATGAGTGATCTGAATGATTCTTGTACTAAAAGAAAGCTCAATGACTGGGCTTTTACATCCTAGATATTGAAAGTGCTACAGGCAAAACTTTATTCAAAAATTGGTCCTGCCATTTGGGATGTGTTTGTGTACTCGCCCTGTATAAAGGCTCTGTGCGCCATTTGGGATGCATTTTTTTTTTTACTCACCCTGTACAGTGTTTTTCAATTTTTTAACGGCATAAGAGTAAAGTGAAAAACGAAATCAGCTGATCCGGCGAAAAATGTGGAACGCCTGTTAAGAGGCACATAGGAACATTAGTAATTACCAGGGATAAGTAGAAACATTTCTGTGATGCGTCCACACTCGGGTGTCTTCTCACTTTGTAGCAGCCTTTTTGGAGGATTGATTACTAATTAATCGACTGATGAATATTCAATACCTCCAGTGCTCCTTTCCACAATGGCTTAGCCAATTGAATAATAATTATGCGCTACTGAATATTCATTACCTCCAGACTGAAGGGGTTGCTGGATCGTGGGTTGCTGTTTACACAGAAGGCAGTCACCTAGGCAAGAAACAAAAAAGGCATAAACAAAAAATTTACGAAATGGATTTCGTTGGTTTAATTGGAGCCAAACTGAATGAGACCAAAGATAGTCATTATTATTATTATTATTTATTCGACCTCAACAAAGAATTACAAACAGTGATACAAAACCAAGCAAACATGACACAAAAGTGGTTGAAAACGCACAACAAAAGGAACGTATAAACATGTAATTTAAATTAAAAAAAAAAATCATGAAGTTGAGGGCATGCACTTTAAGTGACGGCTAAGCTTCCCAATTGGGAGTTGAACAATAACCACTAAGGCGCAATAAAATCACAAAGAAAACGATTATGTGGGTCAGGGACCGCAAAGGCGAATCTAATCACTGTTGCTCGGAAGCATGCGGACCCGCACATAATGACAAATGAACAGGACAAAAAACGGCAAACAGAATGCACAAGAACAAAATTACAAATGGCAGGGAAATAACACAATAAAGGGAAGCCCGGAGATAAAACTTAAGATTAAGTAAATTGCGCTATAATGTGAGCTGGTCATGGAAGTGTGTCTTGAGACTGGCTAGAAATGAGTTTAGTGAATTAAGCACTGCAGAATCCCGGATTGAAGTAGGTAAGTGATTCCAGAGTCTAGGAAAGCGACGGGTTGGTGAATGGAATAAAGCATCAGTACGAGCAGGAAGGTGACGAAATGTGAGGATGTTTGGATGACATGGATTAATATGAAGGTTCTCAAGGACAGATTCATATTTGTTTGTAAATGTCAATGATCAAATCATCATGTCCGTGCAACTAAATTGGGTCGTACATTGAAACGCGAGTTTCAGAATGTCAAAAGGTCGTATCTCACTTAAAATGACCAGGGCCCAATTTCACGGCGCTGCTAAGCACGAAAATTTGCTTAGCACAAAAATAGCCTGGCTTATAAAAGTAAGTAAGCCAGCCAAAACTTCACGTCATGTGTGTTGTTCGTGATTAGTATTCAGCTTTTATTTGCTTAGCATGAAAATCACATGTAGTTTTGGCTGGTAACCTACTTTTATAAAGACAACCTGTTTTTGTGCTAAGGAAATTTTTGTGCTTAGCAGGGCCGTGAAATTGGCCCCATGTACACATAAAGTCAACGGACGTCGAGATACAACGTTGTTGCACGGAACGAATTCACGCAAGATACGACTTTCTTGCAGAATGGAGTTACGAATTTGTTGCACTCAGTGACAAGACAAAATATTTGAATATTGGATCAAATCCTAAGTCCAATAATCATACTCGGAATTGTTTGAAAATGCCCAGCACTAGTACAATGACTGATGGATTTAAAGAAAATACCTTATACACTATAAGTCTGAAAGCCACTGAAGAAAAAAAATCACAAGCTTGCTTGAGTAGGAATCGAACCCACGACCTCCTGTTAATAGTGCAGTAGTGTTAATCATGCGTCCACCGAGCATCGCTGGGGTTAACTGGCCAGTTTGAATACGATAAAGTGATATATACCACAACTTTTCTGTGTTAGCCTCTGAAGAAGAACTTGCTAAGTTCGCAACGTCAGGCCACATTAATTTTTAGATTTATATATTTCAGGTCCATCCAATCAGTAAGCAGTTTGCAGCAGTCTTACTTTTTTTAACTTTAATATTGAACGACTTTTCAGTAATAAAAAAAAAAAAAAAAAAAAAGGTACTATTCTTTAAAGTTGTTTGAACTTGTCACGCCCCAATTTCACCCTGGTCCCAACTTAAGCTAGGACCATCCCAACTGAAGTGTTCCAGTTGGAACACTTTAGTTGGGACTGGCCCAACTGAAGTTGGGACCAGGGTGAAGCTGGGACATAACACACTCACCCCTTTGATCTTGGCTCCACTTAGAATGGGCTGTGGGGAAAATCAAATCAAAACAATTGTGAATCAGTTAAGGGCTATCATTTTGCTTTTCATGCGTTTTGTTCGTTTTCAATAATAATACCACTTAAAAGTCCAAAGAAGACTTTTCAAAACCTAACCTGTTGAAACTTCAGCTCAGTGGATATTACACTTTTCAAAAACAAACAGCGGAGAACCCTGCACGAGCTTTTGATCACGAAACATGATTTTGTCAATAGCACTCTTTTATTTCCAAAAGTCCGCCAACTGACTGATCGTTGGAAATCACATACATTTCTTGATTTCTTCAAAAAGACACAAGACAGACGGAATAATTTCACGGCGTGTTTAGTACCAGTACAACTTTTAAAGAGGTTGTGGAATGCTCGAAGACATTTCCGTCATTTTTCGGGTATATGTAGCCTATTGGGTGTGATGAAATAAAAGCGACTATTGTGTCTGTCGTGAAATGAGTACAAAAGGTACTTTTGGGAGCTGTTTTTCAGGTCCTGTTTCGACCCGAACATGCAATTTGTGTAAAAGTCGTCGTTGGGGGCAGCAAACAAAACATAGTAAATCGTGACGTAATAAACAGGACTCCCGATGCAGCGTAGTATAAACGAGTCCTGTTTATTGCGTCACACTTTTTCTCATTTTACAAAGAACCTGACGACTGTTGATTTCAGTTATGCGCTCGCCGACCAACAATTTACTCGATGAATTTCAGTTTTATAAACATATAAACGCACATTACAAAAGAATGGGACTTTGTCGTTATGATATGTATGGGTCTACTCTACAATAAAACAAAAATATCAAAAAACAAAACGACTTTCAGCATTCCACAACCTCTTTAATCCAAGTACGCTTTCTTATAATGAATTGGTCATGTTGGTAGGTTACTTTTGGGCTAAGTACAAACGATACTTGAGTGAATTCATGGGTGTTTTGCAGTAGTGGTACATTTCTAACGCAAGCTTGATAAGGCCTTCAGATGGCCCTACGTATAATTCTCTGATGCATAGCAGAAATGTTGGTGAATAATTTTCTTACTGAATTTTTAAATTTTTTTGGAGGGGGCGGGGGAGGAGGTAACTTCGTTTAGTTTCAAATGATTTACTTCCAACCAATTTTGTATCTCCCTCAAAACTTGTTGGTTTTGTTTGTTTGTTTGTGGTTTATTACCTCCAGGTTGAACATAATATTGAGTAACGTCAGGACATTGTCGCACAGCACCAAGATTCTCGTCAGCGCAGAGGTTTTTTTTTTTTGCAGGGGCGGGAGAAGGTAACTTCGTTTAGTTTCAAATGATTTACTTCCAACCAACTTTGTATCTCCCTCAAAACATGTTGGTTTGTTTGTTTGTGGTTTATTACCTCCAGGTTGAACATATTGAGTAACTTCAGGACATTGTCACACAGCACCAAGATTCTCGTCAGCGCAGAGGTGTTTTTTTTTTTTGGAGGGGGTGGGGGAGGAGGTAACTTCGTTAAGTTTCAAATGATTTACTTCCGACCAATTCTGTATCTCCCTCAAAACTTGTTGGTTTTGTTTGTTTGTTTGTGGTTTATTACCTCCAGGTTGAACATATTGAGCAGCATCAGGACATTGTCACACAGCACCAAGATTCTCGTCAGCGCAGAGGTTTTTTTTTTTTTGGAGGGGGCGGGGGAGGAGGTAACTTTGTTTAGTTTCTAGTGATTTACTTCCAACCAATTTTGTATCTCCCTCAAAACATGTTGGTTTGTTTGTTTGTGGTTTATTACCTCCAGGTTGAACATATTGAGTAACGTCAGGACATTGTCACACAGCACCAAGATTCTCGTCAGCGCAGAGGCCGCCTTCAGTTGCTGTATGGGCTTTTTCTGCAAGGAAACAATGAACACAATTAAACCTCACCCAAACCTCAGACGCAACTACATGTCACTTGGTGGTCAGTCAGTCAGTCCGTCAAATGGTCTGTCTGTCCGTCCCGAAAATTGACCAAAAGTATGGTGTTCCATGTGTGCCATTGGCGTCGCATTTTTCACCAAGAGCTTATTGTGCACTCGCACTTGTTTCTGTTTGGTATAAGGAGAATCCAACTACTTTCCTATTTACGTTATACCCATAGAGCTATATTAAATTACTAGAGCGCTAACTCGTCATTCTGCACGCGGAGACCCTTTGAAGCCGTCCTGGGCGCAGACATTTTGAATTAATGTGCGCGTTTGTAGAACATAATGAAATTAGATGGATTGAATTTTGAAAGTGTACTCTACATGCAACGCGCAAGTAGAAGATACGCAAACAACTTAAGCGCGTCATGACGGTTAAACAAAACCGTGCAGCAAAAAGCATCTGCAGCGAATACGCGCACACGTTGCGCTGTTTGCGTAGAGCAAAATGACACGCTCATTTGCTGATCGTGCGTTTCAGTGTTGGGCGTATCGGCTTTGATGACGCACCGGTATGGAATACAAAATGCAGATATGCAAAAAATAGCCGTAAAAAATGTCTAGGTCTCCATAGGTTTGTGCACAAACATGGATGCGCCCAGCAGGCATTACTTTGTACACGAAGTTAGCGCTCTAGTAATTTAATATAGCTCTATGGATATACCACAAAATCCGGTTTGCAGGACATCGACTTGAACAAATGGTAATAAGGTTATTGTTTATTAAAATACTGCGGTAAAATGTGACTTTAACCCTAACTCCCTAGGCCTTTTTGCTAGGATGTGTGCCTCAATCCTGCTAAATCCTCCAATTGGCCTCATGGGAAACACAGCATTTAGCCTCAATCCTGCAAATTCCTCCATTATTTCTTGAATATGGTCCGTGGAGGGGTGACCACTGCCTGAATCCTGCAAAATCCTGCGGCAGTGACTGTCAGTATGTTGAGGCTTGGCCAGTGACATCCTGGAGCAGTGCGGAGGATTTCAAGCATAATCCAGGCCTATATTTATGCATGGCTGAGCAAAAACAACACAACGTCCAGCCCAAGACCTTGACAAAGTGCATCCTACGAAATCAGTAACGCACTTTCGCCATTTAAACTCAATCCTCCAAATTCCTCCACTTTGGCAAGGATTTTGAAGGATTCAGGGTGGTAAGGGTTAAAAAAAAGAAATTTACAAAAAAATTGCAATTGATGATGTTAATTTATATGAGTTTCTATAAAAATTATAATGTTCTCACCACGGCAAGGTACTTGTGCGACTGCTTCTCGCTGGTGTACGTGATCTTCCCATTGGCTAGTGTCTTCTCCTCAATCAAGAAATGGATTACAAAGCTAAAAATATGAAATTGACACAGGAAAGGTTTTTAAAAAAAAAGGACATTGTTTTCATGAAAACAGACGGGGAGAGACGGGCAGAAGGGATGCAATCCCTGATTATTTACAAGTATTGGCCACTTAAAGGTACAAGTCCATCATTTGTAATTTGTGCATTTTGTTCGTTTGGAGCAACAAACGTGCTCAAAATCTAAAGAAGGGTGCTGAACAACTAAACTGATGAAGTTTCAGCTTTCACCCGTATCCCCTGCCCTGCAAACAGGGCGCTGGTAAGGGCTGACGAGCTTCACAGAATCTTGTGAAGGAAGTACAGATTGACCTTCGCATGCAGCTAGCGCGCGCTACGCATGATGGGCACCGGAAGCTAGTTTGTGTGACGCGTTCTACGTCACAGGTCACGCAAATCTATCGAACAAGAGCTCAAATGACGTCAGCCCTGACCAGAGATTCTGTTTGCAGGGCGGGGGGTACGAGCGAAGATTCAGCTCAGCTTCAGCCGTATATTCTACAAAAAACAGGATCTAAATTTCAAATCCGTCAAAAGTTGCTGAATCGTGTTTTGAATTGGGCCTGAATTCAGCATCTGAGACACGTTCTCACTGAGCCGATTGCAGCTACGCGATGTCGTGCACCGATCCGACAAATTATAGCAACCGCGAGCCAAGTGCGTCGTGCCAATGCTTGCGTGCACTTCGCTGAATACAAAAAACGAACTACTAACGGACATTTCCAACGGTGCATCTTTAGACGCATCATTGGAAAGGCCTTCTTTCTTTGATTTCTTCAAAATGACAGCTTGCCAGAAAGAACAATTTCACAGGGTGTTTAGTCCCCTTATTATCTTTCAACCAAGTATGTTTTTCAACAATAATTACGTCAGTTACTTTTTGGATAGCTGCAAATGATGGACTGTAGCTTTAAGGTCAAACAAAAAAAATACACATTTTTCTGTCCCCCGGACGTTTTTTTTTTTTTAAACTTGTTGTCCAGAGGACAAATAAACTCGCAGGTGATCGGGCCTTCTCTATTGCTGCTCCCCGATTGTGGAATAGTCTACCCATCCCTATCAGAAACTCCGATACTGTGCCAACCTTCAAGAAGGCTCTCATAACCCATTTTTTCCCCACACCATAGCTGGTCGTACGCCCTTGTTGTTTTTCTGTTGTTCTTTCTGTAGTTCTTCTTTCTTTGTTTCAGCGCCTTGTATCCTTTGGCAATTTGGCGCTCTATAAATCCAGTTATTATTATTATTAACTAGCATTTTCGGGAGGAAACAAAAAGGTCCTCCTTTCCTTTTTTCGAAAAAGGAGCTATATTTCTTTTCTTTTTGACTTAAAAAGACAATTGGAATCACGCCCCTGCCTTAAATTCAAGTACACAAATTAATACTCATTTAAATGAACCCTAACTCCCTAGAATGCTTTACTAGGAACCATACCCATCCTGGCAAATTCCAACACATATGGGGAACTGCACACACATATTTCTGACTTTGATTCTGGAGGTGTGCCAACCCAATGTAAAAGACTGTCAGTTTAGGGGTACTGTACTGTACCCATCCTGATAGATTCCAACAAAACATGCCCTTGGAGTTTGTTGGGTTGAGTTCGGCTCGGTTTAATATCCATTGAAAACTTAATTCTCTGCTCGTTGCAACGAAACAAAAAGAGACCTCTCAAAATGGCCGCAATGCTTACCAGTCGCTGGTGCCTATGTACAGGTTTTTTCCGCAGCATTCGATGCACTCAATCTGTGAAGTGAAAATGCGGATGGCATTGACAAACGTAGGAAACTCAGATGTTTTTACTGGTATCTGACCCTAAGTTACTCAGCAAACAACATACCAAACAAGAGCACTCTATTTTGCTTATTTTCTCAAACACTATGAGCAGATCTTCAAACCAAGGCCAGGGATGCTAAGGCCAACTAAAAATAAAAACAAAAGGCAGGATGCTAAACATGTTTTGGCACAATTGCAGAATACCCCGCCACTCGATCTATCCACCTCGTAGCTGGCTACGATGTCACGGTTGGTTGACCTCAATAAAACATCCTCAGCGCTACTTGTACTATGCGTCATGCTCCATTGCACTCCCACTAAGTAACCGCGTAGCCGCCAACAGGGTGGTTGGTTTGGACTTGAAAAAGGCAGCACTGTCTGATTAGCCTATAAAGAGGTAGACCCGTGAACGTGGCTTGTAAACTACGCCATGCTGTTGTGTATTTTCGAACCTGGCGAACGTGTCCCTCTGACTCCCTCCGTTACACACACTGGATGTTATTTTGCCCATGTAATAAGTACTCACATATGAAGCTGTCTTGAATTCTATTTGTACGTCAAAACTTGCATTTGACGAAAATTGAGGAAAATTCTGGCCCCGGTTCATGAAGTCCGTCCGCTACTGCTAGCTGCCATTTTCTCCCAACTGACGCATGCGCATTGCGTTTTATTTTCGTATGATTCGACGGCTGTTTACTGTCGCAGCTAAAACAGACATCGTTTTAGACAAGTTTCAAGTCCTTTCCTCTCTCACCGCACTGCACGCGGTCGCACGTGCGCCCGCGTGTTTGTGCGCACACGTACTGTACACGAGATGAGCAGAGCAGCCAATCGTCTGCAGGTTTTTTTTTTCGGGGTTGCGACAAGAAACAGCCGTCAATCTGTCCAAGCGTCTCGGACGCGTCCGGGGTTATTTGTCAGGGTCAGGTTAAAATCTAATTTCTACACGTTCGTATGGGTCTTTACTGATGGGCAAATTTCGTCGAAATTACACAGCCTAAACAATCGGACGGGCAAATTTAGATTTCTAGGCGAGTACTCAACACCCATACGGAATTATGTATGTCGGATCGATTTCACCAGGTTCGAAATGACACAAGAACGTGGCGTTGTATACAACGCCACGTTCACGGGTCTAATAAAGAGGGTGAGTATGCTTGTAAAGCAAAAAAAACCTACAAACTAGGCCTAAATGTGAAAATCAAAATTTGGCAAAGTGCGACACGTTTTTGCACATGTGGATGTGTGACCTTTTTTTACGGAGGCTGTCCAGTATTTTTATGGGGCTAGTAAAGTAGTATTATGGGACTAGGGCCAGCAGTAGGCCTAATCATTTCACTCACTGAAGTTCTTGCTTTCTCGCCCAGCAGTTTGAGCCTCTCAATGGCCGGGACCAGCTCAAACGCCTTGACACTCATCTCATCTACGTCCTAGGTGGCTTTACGTGTGAAATAAATACATGAAAAGATCGATAATTTGATGAAAATTTTAGTAACAAAATCAGGTAAGTTACACGGTAGCGCCAGTATCACAACTCCAGCAGTACCACTTATGATAATTTATGCTTACGTCACCACAAGTCAGGTACGTCACGTTACAGGACTTTTGGCGATCAGTGGCGGAGCTCCGGAGAGCGGGTTTCGCACCGAATGATCGGTCAACTTTCGGAATGTAACTTGTGTTTGAGCAGAGCCTTCCCATCCCAAACTAACTAGTGCAAACAATTACAATAGCATTCGGTTGTACCACGGAGGTAGAATTATTTGTACTTGAGCTAACTGATCTGGAATTTGTCAAGGTTCAAGCGTGCCCATTATTTGTCACGAAAACGAATTGTGCTCGGCGGATACTACTATTTTACACAGTGTCGGCATTTTAGTCGATTACAAAAAAATGCGCTTAAAAATAATACGAATAGATAAGGGGAACCTTCGTTTTTGAAATGACCAATTAGATTGACCGGCTTGGGCAGATGATTCTTCCATGATTTATTATTACATTTAGCATTCAAAAGGTAGGTAGGAATACTTTATCGTGAATGCTTGCATTAATTGTTATTTAGTTTGTTTATTTTTACTCTTTTCGTTTTGACAACCATACAACTTACCATATTTACAAAAACCTTGTTAATATTTTAATAAAAGCTATGAATAAAGAATTTATTTTGAATTAATGGATTTGAATCTGTAATATCAAAATCTTATTTCTGTCGTTGAAAAAAGATGTCCCCTTACGAAAAATCTCCGCGGTTTTGAATTACTTCCGGGTTGGTAGCTGCACTCTTTCACAGAGCATTATACTTACGCTTCACTGAACTTCAAGATGCACTGTCTGTGCTCTCTTCGATCACTCCAACAAATTTGTTTTTATTCACTTTTGAATGAGACATCGAACGAAAAAAAAAATCAACCCACGTTTATTGACAATTGTTGCTTTCCAAGCGTCAAATTATGTTCGGCCCATACAATACTTTAGTTCTTGCCATACATGTGCGATTGTGCGTAACTTAACAAACAATTCTCATTGTAAGAATCAAAATCTCATTGGTTGAGCAGTTGATTTTTTTGCGTGGGAATGATGCATATTAGGAAAGATGATGTAAATTGTGAAAAATGATGTAAGCAGGAGGTCGTGGGTTTGAGTCCCGCCGGAGTATTAAGCCGGCTGCGAATATTTTCCCCCGGTTCTCGAAAGCATCGAGCATACAGTGCTTGATACACCACGTCGGGAAATTAAGGCATCTTCCTAATTTTTTGAGAACATGTATATTATTTTGTCTTACAAAATTTCAAATTGTGTTTTGTGCTTTAACGGAAACAATATTGGGCCTGTTTTGTTGTTGCTTTTTTTTCGATTCGATTTGATTTAATTAATTCGAAACTTCCTACAATGATTATAAAGATAACCGGGCACAGTTCTCGACTTGCTCTGTGTTTTAACTATTGATCTCCATTACATTGATCTCCATTAGTAAGACTTACTAATGGAGATCAATGGTTTTAACCCATGAGCTATAAAACAAGTAATAGATACAGTACCACACCGATTGCGGAGGAGGAGGGGGTATCGAAGGTCGCGTGTACGGCAATTATGGCCGAGTCGTAACATTGTACATGTTACACCCGGTACAATTACGTACGGAACCCTTGGCATGTAAAAATGTACATGTACATGTATGCGTGACCGTGCTAGTGGGTCTAGAGATCAGTGGTCTACAAGGACATGCACACGACGATCACGCGCGGACCGACGATGTACATAATTCATAAGTTTGATGACGCTGTACTGTTTACGGCATAAATTATGATAAGTGGTACTGCTGGAGTTGTGATACTGGCGCTACCAAGTTACACCGGTTTCACATTGCCACATTACAGGGCGCCCTCATGTGCCTGACATACCCTAGATAGACTAGACGTAGACTTGTTCTAGTCACGTCAAGGTGTACTTTGTTTTAATTCCCCATAGCCACTTGTGCTAAATGCCCATATTTCAAAATTCTTTTAAAAATACTCAGAACTCTAACAGGTATTTAAACTGCACACAAAAATGATAATCGACATGTCATCTTTCAATTTCTTTTTATTTTTTGGTGGGTTGACCATTGGCTTTCCGAGAAATTCTCGCCCAAAGAAGACAACCCCTATTTTCCCCAAAGCGGAACGGTAGCAATTTCGAAAAACGATCCCTCCGCAACATGGCAAAATGGACCCACTTTCGAGCCCAACTGTATCCAAAATGCTCAGAATTGGAAGCCCCGAGTCCGGGCCAGAGGTTCATTGCCATATCCCTTCAATTCCCCAATGTTATGGCTCTCAGAGCTCTCTAGAATATTTTCAGTGAGGGTATAGCACTGTAACCTTCATTCATGAGCTCGGCGGATGGGTTTAGGCCTATCTACAGGTGTGCACCCCCATGTACCCCCATCTTCAAACTTTTAATCACTTAATAAACATTTGGTCATTCTCGGTTCCACCCCCCCTTCTTGGTTCTTGGTTCTTGGTTCTTGGTTTGTTCTCCTAAATACCATGTGGGGGTTTCAATATAGGGCCTTTCCCACCCCTCCTTAACTTTTTAATCATCTTAATCTGGTCCTTTTCGATCCAACCCCTAGCCTCACCTTTTCAAATTGTAATAATCCTTTTTTAAGGGAAAAGGAATCATTTAACTTTAGATATGAATGACAAATCTGGCCAAATAACATATCCCCCCCCCCCTCACGTCTTTATATAGAGATCAGTGCCCCCCCCCGGCCCTCTATGGCGTGTCAAACGTTGCAATATTCAATATTTTGCAATATATATGTTGGATGTTCATTATGTGTTTGTTATCTTTTACATTTATGTGCGATGTTCAATTAAGTGTGCGATGTTTTTCATTATTTGCGCGATGTTTAATATATTTGTGCGATGTTTTACAATATATGTGCGATGTTCAATATATGTGTGCGATGTTTTACATTTATATGCGATTTTCAATTATATGTGCGATGTTTTTGACGATATATGTGCGATGTTTTCAATATTATGTTCGAATTTTTTGAATTAAATGTGCTATGTTTTTCGATACAATCATGTGTGTTGTTTTACAATATATTTGCGATATTCTCAAATATGTGAGCAATGTTTTACACATATGTTTGACATTTCGAGCTATTTGTATTCGATGTTTAATTCATCGGTATGTTAGCATTCGATCTTTTGCAATATGCATTTGATGTTTCCCTTTTCATTCAATGTTTCGTTAAGAGTCAAAGGTTAACCTTGCATTTTTTTTTAGCAAAATAGGACACAATCAGATGATTCTGGAAAATTGCAGATTGTTTGGGCTTAACCTTGTATTTCTAGCAAAATTGGGCAAAAAGAAATGTTTATGAAAAATTTTAAATTGAAAGAGGTGTACCTTGTATATTTAGTGAAATTTGGCAAAATCAGATTTGTATGAAAAATCTAAAATGGTAAGGGCTTAACCTTGCTTTTTCAGCAAATTTTGGAGCATATTTTACTAAAATTGGGCAAAATCAGATGCTTCTAAAAAATCCAGATGTAAAGTTTCCACAAAAACAGCTGTTGAAAAAGAGCCCAATGTTGAACTTTACTGAGTCTGAGGTCTATCGAGGGAACGATCCTTATTTCAACTCCCGGAGATTCGCTGACAGTCTCTATTTTTCTTTTTAAGAAAGTCGAAATAGCTGAAGAGGGAGGTGAGAATCTATTGTGCCCAGATACAAAGAGTAGAAATCTACGCGTCTGCCTTTTGAAAATACACAATTGCGGTGTTCACTGTTGCGTAATGATCCGCCTAGCACACGACTGTTTTGCACATTAGGCTGTGTTATGCAGCTTCCTAACAAACCAAACACACTGGGCTCATTATATCGACTTGTTTTTACCCATTAAGGTAAAGCAAATGGACCCAGTAATCTTCCTGGCGCGTTTGCTCACCTATAGAGTCAACTTTTCTCAGTTTAAGGAAAATTCTAAGGTAACGAAATGGCCGAGTGGTTACGATTCGTCGTCCACGATTAGCGGGTCCCGGGTTCGAATCCCGCTGGTGTCTTTTTGGTTTTTAACGTATGAGTTCAATCATTTACTATAAGAGATTTAATTTCCCGTCGTAAAGTACCAACAGTACCTTAGCTTAATCGGTAAGCACTGCTGCTGGTACTGTCCGCGAGTTCCAGGTTGGCGCCTTCGTACAGGTTCAGGGCATGTGGTCCACTCGGAGGATCAGGGCTTAGGGGCCGCCCTGTTCCTCCCTTAGCTCTTTGCTTTTACATGGTGCCTGGCCCTCCGGGGTTATATGGATGGATAGGGAAGGAAGTGTGTATTGGTCGGGGACGCCGAGACCCCGGAAGAGAACTAAGGGACCGGCTGGGGCATTGTCATGGCTCAGACCGATCCCTGAAAGCTTGACTAGCACATAACTTTTTGATTTTTTTTTTAACCCTCTATCTTCAATACTTTGGTTTAGTTTGATATCTACAGCTGCTCGGCAGGTCTACGGGTAGTATCAAAATTGAAACAAAGGTGCATGTATGTCATAATTCATAATTGGCTATAATCAAAACGGAGTTTCGTTTGATCAATTTGACTATCACTATATTGCCAATTGACGTAAGAAACGCCATAAATTATACCGGGAAAAAATAAAGATGTACCGTACATTGTAATATAAATATTAATACATCTTTCAAATAACGTGTCTTTAATTGTGAGCATTCCAAACAATACAGTAATTCGAAATGGTATATGATGGCACGATCATTGCGTCTCTATTAAATTAAAAAAATATAATGTAGGCCCCTATGTGTGAAATATTCTTTGATTATGATCTTCCATACGAATGAGTTAATTCGCAAAATGTAGCAACAACAAAAGAGAAAGGAAAAAGAGAACATTCCTTTACCCTAAAAACTGGAAATATAATTTGTTTTAAAAAGTCAAATGGGACACTTCATTTATTGATTTAACAGTTTGCAAGGACTTAGCCTTACATTTTTTGCAAAATTG